TCATGATCGCCCATACATCGAAGGGAAACTGTAAGCAACAAAATTAATGAGCTTGTGTAAATGTATGAAAGAACAGGAACTGGGAGGGATATTAAGGGGACAATCAATGCTTAGTGCTACAAAGGCTAGGAAGTTGTGGAGAGCCACGATCACCCACATTCTGAAAGGGTACGACATAGAAAAAAAATCAGTATGAGCTGGACCTCTATACTGGTCTTATGTGGTAGCAATAATAATTTTGCTCTATGACAGGTATCTGCTAAATAGATTTAATTTTCCTCAATAGACAATTACTCTACTGTTTTTTTTAGTTACAAAACTTTTATCCTGCGCACGTGCAGTGACACATGTGCAAAGACGTCTGCGTGCGCATGCGCAAAACCGCTTGTTTTGATAATAACATTATCTTTTTGTTACAACTCCCATTAAATAATTTGATAATATGGCATGATAAAAAATCAATCATAATTCGTAGATACTCATATCGATAAAAAAAAAAAAAATCGCGTAAACTGACAACTTTATGCGTGCGCCTGTGATTATGAGTTAAAGCTCTGACGTTAGTGCATCGGAACGATCATCGCAAGGTCTATTTATGTAGTATGTGATTCACGCCTGGAAATAGCAGAGATCTGAATCGAATTTAACGTCAGTAGTAATATTTACTCTAAGACGAGTATTTCTGTGATGAACCCAGTATGTACTGGGGTCATCTTAAGAGATACCAGAGTAAACTTTATACTCGGTTTCACAACAGACCATCAAAAGAGATGGGCGCCTCAGAGGATCTTCTTTTTTTCTTTTTTTCTTTTTTTTTTTTTTAAATCATTTCCCCCAAGTAAGGGGGTAATGCTCCTAAGATTCGAGGAAGTGAAAGAGAATGAGAATACTTTAGAACTGGAAACCCAATCCTAAACAGGGAATAAGTGATAAACCTATGCTCTTGTTCGACAGGCTATGACTAGTGTAAACTGATCGATATATGAACCTATCTACTCTAGAAGATAACTTCATAGCCACCAAGTGCAAAATCGGGCCATAGTGACTGCAACCATATAAAACATTAACTCAAACAAGCTGAACTTGGAAAAATGATGGAAACGTCAACTGGAGCGACACGTTTGCGTCGTCCGCCCAGTCCCGGTCGGTAGCGCACACCTTTGCATTATTTTATTACTTTTGTGATTTAAAAATGATTTTAGACATTCTTTTTTTTTTTTTTTTTTTTTTTGGTTTTATTTTTTTCATTAAACATTAATTTCAGTTACATCCTTATTTATGTATACAACAGAATAACAGGTAATTATATAAATTCACGAGGAGGAAATTAAAGTTCCTTGCCCCATCGTAAGATCGAATGTTCGAGGTCCCTGAAACCACATACCCTCCAAGGTTAATTAATTTAAGTATGAAAATTAGGTGTCGTATTCTTATGAGAAATTAATAGCATAATGTTGCACATATTTTGAATTGTCTTAATTATGTAGCAACGATAGGATATCATTAGTACAAGTATATGACACGTTCGGAGGAGGAGGTACATATTTCATCATTTGATAATTTTGCGGCAATAAGCGCTTAGAGGTTTTAGGCAGTTTTAATCAACATTTATTTTCATGGTCAGCCGTAAGGAATTGTAAATGACGGACTACCTTAAACTTAAATAAAATAATAACAATAATAATATTTATTAAAAATTTTTTACAGGAAATATCAAATTTTACGGAAATATTGTTGACAATTATGTATTTAGTTACATAACAAATAAATAAAAAGAATATAAATTTTGATGCTATATTTGATTTTTTTTTTTTTTTTTAGGTATTTTTTTATTTTCTTCTTTGTTATTGACAGCATTTTAAAATACTTTGGCTGTAATGCTAAGTTTCCTAAGATGAACAAACTGGAGATATTTTGTTTACGTTTCGTTACCTCTCTTTTCCATTGTTGTTTTTAGATCGCTTGCTTCCAGTCATTTTGAAGGGCAATAGCAAAATTCTGAAATTTAGAATGATCTTATCCCATTTCAAAAATAAAGCCTGTAAAAAGGAATATTTTAAATTAATATACGACCAAAAATAAAATACTTTTGAGGAAAGAGGGCTTGGAAAATCTGATACTCACAGGACAGTAAAAACAAGAGGAATAGAGGAAAACAACGCATAAAATACTTAGTGAGCATGAGTAAATCAATGGCGGAATTAGTTTTAGGAGAAATAACAAAAAGTCAAAACTTATAAAGGATAGGAAGTTGTGAAGAGTCATAATTGCCTACATCCTGAAAGAACACGACACATAGAAGATGTAAATGCTAGTGTCTGTCGCTTTATACTGTACAAAACATGTCACGTTATGGTTTTGTTCCTATATAAGTGTGTAAACCAGATTTAACTTACATATTTTGCAGATATAACCCAAAAATATGTCCAAAGAAAATGGTATAATTTGTATTTTGGTCATCTCAACTTGATAGGTAGAAAATTGATTACAAATTGGAACGACGACCACGTATATTTGCTTTTATAAAACTTTTAAAGTGAATTATATTTATTTAAATAACCATCCGTCCTTGCATGGAATATTGCTGCTATATATGGACCGGTGGCCCGCTGTACGCCTCGAGATCCTCGAAAAAATCCAGAGACGAATATGCAAGATGATAGGTCCTGATCTGGCACCTAGTCGCTTTCTCACAGACGTGCTGTGGCTTCCCTCTGTCTCTTTTACAAGTATTTTCACGGCAATTGTTCCGACGAGCTGGTTCCCAGACTGCATGAATTTAAGCGAGCTACCAGGCTGACATCTCGTTCCCACCCTTTCACTGTCAAAACGGTTGGATGTAACCGACTCTTCTACTCAAATAGCTCCTTCTCTCGCACTTCCCGACTGTGGAACTCCCTTCCCCTTGTTTACTTCTCCGATGACTATAATCTTCAAATATTCATGGAAAAAATAGTTTTAACCCGTGAAAATTACGCTGTTTTCCTATTTGAAATTCCTGATGAATCTTAATTCTTGCTAATAATTGAATATGACCATGGCGAGTTCTAGGACTATAAGATTTCCGTAGAAATTCCGCTATCACATCGTTAAATATTTGAGACAAATACTTATAACGAAAATATCACACTAACAGTCATAAATATGAATACTGGTCGTTATTTTAAGAAGTAAGGGGGTACAAATGTGATATATAGGAATAAAGTGTCGCTGCCAACACTTGAGTTTGAACATAGATCGCCAGTGAGCAAACACAGGCGATCCCATTATTGAATTAAGTAGACCATGTGACCATAGAAGAAACGCATATATGTAGGAAGTAGCTAATGATCGTTATTTCCAGTCTATCCTCTATTACTATTCGGATTACTATCAGAGCTAGTATTATCGAGCAAGTACTATTAGTGCGAGTGTTATTCGAAGGCATCTGACACCAGTATTGTTCAACGGCGTTACTATAGTTGTATCGATTACAAAGTCTCTTCTACAAGGAGCATTACGAAAGTGACCACGAGTATTCGTTGGCATTACAAAAATATGAAAAGATTTGAAATTGACAACTTTTTCGATTTCACTTCAACACATCTATCTTCCCTTCTTTCTCGCTTTTATTCATTTTCTCATTGAACCCATGTCTCTAAGATGTCTTTTATTTATCATGTAAATGAAGGTGCCAAAGCCATTCAAATCCAAGGGTTCCAGTCTGCTAGGGCGGCTAGATAATCCCCAGACGCCTGCTCAGGTACGTTTCTGTTTGTTTAATACCCACAGAGGCTACCTGCGGTTTATACTGCAACTATGCTGACAGATTCTGGGAGAGAGCGCTTTATCTAGCGTGATCAACAGTCTGAACAAGAGTAGCACGTTCAAACCCTCGGTCACGATGACTTGTGACTTCGTGCTCTTAAGGTTTCCGTCTAGCCAATTTTCAAGCACTTTCCAAAGTGTCGCACGCTGGGTTCATAACACCAAGAATTCACCTTCCAGACAAATCGACCATAGTCAGATTCGAACCCGGCTCTTATGGTATGTAGTGAAGCGAATGTTCTAACCACTCGGCCGAACGCCAGTATGTAAACGGAATAGACTGTTACTTATGAGATACTGGAAGCATTAAATATTTCTTTTTTCTAACTCAAAGTAGGCAGTGTATTTTCCCTTTTTTTTTTGCACGTAATCAAAACGGAATAGTCCATTATTTATAAGTTATTGGAAGCATTAAATATTTCTTTCTTTCTTTTTCTCACTAAGACATTACACTCACACTATATATATATATATATATATATATATATATATATATATATATATATATATCTGTGTGTGTATGTGTGCTAATCATTTCGTCCCTAAGCAAGGTGATAAAGCCACTAAAACGCAAAAAGCTGCTGAGAGTGAAAGAAAATGAGAAAACGTTAATGAAGAAAAAGGACAATAAAAGAACAGGTTTCAAAAAGACAGAAAATAGCGGTCGCGCATGTGTTTGTTCGGCAATCGATTTTTGGTATTAAATCGGACACAATATTCATCATTAAAATCCCCCCCAAAATAAAGTAGCCGTTATAGAAATAGGATTCTACGAAAATTAATTCATTTATACCTAAAAGCATTTTGAAATAAAAAAAACTATTACCTTTTTACTTAAATTTCATTTAATTACGGCTGATTTCTGTTACCTGTCAGCTCATTTAAAAGTTCAAGAGGCTAGTGATGAAATCGATTTCTATTGATTTCTCATCGGTTTTCGGTGATTGATTGATCCGTTTTTACTAATTATCAACACTTTGTGGCTTATTTAAAACCAACAAATATTTTTAGATTGTAAGAATTTTTTTTTGGGGGAGATAATCATTTAGTAATACAAGTCTTATTAATTAACCCATAGCTGGGGAAGAATAGGTGGATTCATACCTTTCCCCAGGGTATTTGCGCGTCAGTGAATATAACGAACCCAACTGGAATTGGAACTCAGTTCCTATCCATTAAATCACCAGCACATGCTTACAGTACCTGGTATTCCCAAACGGTCACCCATCTAGGTACTAACCAGGATCGACGTTGCTTAACTTCGGTGATTGTGCGGAACCGGTGTTTCAACGTGATGTGGCCGTAAGCAATATTTTAAATATCATCTATGCCTTTCCTAATTACATCAGCGGAAAGTGAATGCAACCCCCAGTTACATCTTTACTGGTATTACCCGATCTTTTAAGAAAACTTGTGTTAACTGCTCACTTATAACTATCTTACCACACATCAATAAAAGGTTGCCGAATGCAACTGGGGTGAAAAGAAAAAAATGATGAACACAAGACACTGTATTTAAAAGGATAATGGCAATTCTTTTTGTCAGAATTACCGACAACATTGACAAGACGACATTCGGAAAAACTCGATTGCTTCCGACTTTGTTCGGTTTGTTTCGTGACAGACGTGTTCATTTTTTATCATATTCTGGTGTGTTGCCGGCCACTTCCTCCGTCAACCGATGTTACTGGCCTGATAAGACCACATCGCCTATACCTATATTAATTCAGCACGCTCAACTTGTGTGATGCTTATTGCTGTTTTCTATAATCTACATAAAAAATTCACTGACTTCCGTTAATCCGTCCGTACGTCACACCCTCTAAAATAGCCAATCATTGACCGATTTAAACCAAATTTTGGGGAGTTGTGCAGATAGGTAAGTGTTGGTACAAAATACAGTTGGTTTTACTAAGGTGCGTATCTTAGTACAATAAATTTTCATTATTTTTTTGTAAAAATTAAAAAATGTTATTATTTAACTTACAAAATACGCCCACGATTTTAAAAACAATTTAATGATTAAAATAACAAAAACTTATATAAAAATGCAGTATTGTTTTATGCATATCTTTTCTGTTTTATATACAAGAATCCAGTTTCCAGTTCGCCCCGCGTCTACGAAAACTATAAACAAATTACAAGACCAAACGCTTCCAAAAGTTGGAATTTGGCTCCAGAAAGAAATATTTACGCATGGCCAGTTGTGTATTGCATGTTCAAGAGTAAGAAATTTATTCTTCGCTGTTGAAAAGGAAAAAAAGAAATTTTCTTAAAAAAATATTTTTTTACCATGAATTCATGTAAAGTTAAATTAAATTAAAGAAATTATTAAACCACGAAGTAGGGTTTTTGTCAAAGTATTTTCCAAACAAATCAGCTTCTTCAGATTTCATCGATTGGTTTGCGAAATTGAACGAAATGTAGAGTTTGTAAATCTTCACAAAAAATGTTAGCGATAACTTCAACAATACCAAATACTGTGAGAGTTTTAACACACGTCAATGTGTTGCAAAAAGATGCTAATTTTACAAAAATCGAAACAATCACTGGAATGATGCGTTTGCGGGGTCTGCCCAATCCAGGACAGATTAGTAACTTTCGACTTTCTTACGTTATCATCACATTAGGTGTATCTCGTTGAACTAGAGTCTAATGACGAAGGCAAAGAGTGTTGTAGGCAAAGAGTGTTGTGACGTAGACAAAGTGTGTTGTGACGTAGGCAAAAGATGTTGCGACGTACTATATATTGTATAGTTAGTCTGTAGTGATTACGAAATAATAATACCCTTCACCCACTCCTTTCAAATTCGGAGGACTAAAGAAAAAGACAGAAAGGATTACACGAGCCTATCTGAAATTTTCTTAGTACCAATGGAAACCTTGCCTTCATAGAAATTGAGTGATGAGCTGAAAAGAAAGAGGAAATCAATTTGCGAGCCTTTGTGAAATTAGCCGTTGAGCCAAAACGAAGAATGAAAAGAAATTACCGAGACTATGCGAAATTCTTTTTGATATAAAATGAGTAGAAAATTAAATAAGAGAAGAGATACTGAAGTCATGTGAAAGGTTTCCTCTTTTCCAAAAGTTAAAGCGGGGGAGAAATAACACTTTGTTTTTAAATTTCCTTAAAAATCATTTAATCACCAGTTAATTACCATCGCCAGAACAAGTACAATCATAGTATTGAAACATAAAGGCTTTTGAGTAGTGATTTCAAAATGTTTTTATTATAATCTCATATAATAAAAATATAATAATGATATATTGCTCTACTTTGTATTGAGCACTTTTTAAAGAGTGAACAGTGGATTTTTACTCAATCTGTTCTTTCTCTCATTTGGACACACACACACACACACACACACACACACACACACACATATATATATATATATATATATATATATATATATATATATATATATATATATATATTTATAGATCCTTCCATCTTAAATAATTCAACAATGTTTTGCGGCAATTTTAACATCAACATGAAATTTTTCTTGATAAAAGTTGAATAATTTAACATTACAGATTTAAAAATAATGAATTTTATAATGTTTTTTTTTTTTTGAGACTTAACATGAGCAAAAAAATTCACGGATTTGGACAAAAAAAAAGACTCTTAAATGACGTCAATATTGCGTGTATGTTAATCGTTTCACCCCAAGCAAGACGATAAAGGCACAAAGACACTAAGATAATGACAATCCTTCGAATTCTCGACAATATTAACACGACGAAATCTGGGAAGACTCGATTGCTTCCGACTTTGTTCGTTTTCTTCCGTGATAAACGAGTTCATTTTTTATCCCATTCTGTTGTGTTGCCAGCCATTTCCTCAGTCAACCGATAAGACCGCTAAATACAGTGACGTCAAATTCAACAAGCCAGATTTTGTTGCTGAGATTTGTTTAACGGCATATCAACTCCTTATTCATTCAAAGCCAAAATTTAATTTTCGTTTGAGCTTTGATGTAATAAAAATATTCTGCTTTCACAATTGAATACATGATAGATGATACTCAGATTTTGTTCATATAAATGTTTGGATACTAGAGGCAGTAATGTGCATGCTTTATGTAGTTTTGTTATATGTATATTTTGGAATACAGTTTGGTTTAAGAAATTGCAGAATATTATATGGATTAACGTAATGAAAGAGTTCTTTCGTGTTGACTGTTGGTCTTCTTTTCTTTCTTTTTATGTGTCGTGTCTTTTCAGGACGTAGGTGATCATGGCTCTCCATTTCCCCCTATCCCTTGCAGCTCTCAACAAGTTCCGTCCCTCTGTCACCTTTCCAAGACCTCGTTCTGTCATCCATTTGCTTATGCCCGCTAGGTGTGTCATGCGTTGTTTTCCTTTGTCTTTTTTCCTCTATTCGACCTGTGAGTATCAGCTTCTCCAGACCCTCCTTCCTCATTACGTGCTCCAGAAACTTCAGCTGCCTCTTCCTGTGTTAAGTATAAGGCTCCTCCTTGTTTGCATCCTCTCTAAGACGGCATCGTTGCTCACATGCTCGGTCCATGATATCCTTAGCATCTTTCTGTAGAACCACATCTCCGTCGCCTCGAGTCTCTTCATCTTTGAGGAGACCGTCCAACATTCACTGCCATAAAGGAGGACAGATGTCATGTAGCAGCCCAGTACTCTTTACTTTGTTACCAATGAAATCCTCCTGTCTCGCAATACTCTGCCCAGCTTTTGGAATGCGTCCTTGGCCACCCCAATATATCTACGGATCTCAGTGTCGCACTTACCGTCCTCTGTCAAAACAATTCACAGATATTTAAACTTCCGCACCTGCTTGATTTTAGTATCCCTGACCTGCAAATCGCATTTCGGGCTCATCCTTTTACTGATGACCATGCATTCTGTCTTCTTGTAGTTTATGCTTAGTCCCTTCTTCTCACTCTCCTTTGCTACCTTCTGTAGGAGATTTTGTAATTTCTTTTCCGTGTCTGCTATCAGTACTGTGTCATCTGCGTATCTTATGTTGTTAAGATTGTGGCCGCCAATACTGAATCCCCGTATGGTTTCCAATTCTCTCAGAATTGCCTCGCTGTATAGGTGAACAGGTCCGATGAGAAGGCACATCCTTGCCTTACGCCCGTTTCTATTTTTGTATATTCGCTGAACTCGTTCTCTATGTGCATGCATGCTGTTTGCTGCCAGTGTAGGTTCTTGATTATTCTAATATCTTTCCCGAATATATCAATGTTGCTGAGCAGTTCCAGCAGATCGTTGTGGCGTACTTTGTCCAAGACCTTTGCATAGTCTATGAAACATAGTTACACGTCCTTCTGCAGTTGTATCGCTCTTTCTGAAACATTCTGAGCATAAATATTACGTTCCTTGTTCTGGTGTATTTAACGAACCCACACTGTTCTTGTCCTATCTCTGGCCCGATTCTGCTGTGTGCTCTATTCATCAGAATATTGATGATGAGTTTTGTCACGTGGCTCATTAGACTGAATTTTTGGTGGAGTTCACATGCACTTGGTTTCTTAGGCATTGCTATGAAGATAGATCTGCTTAGGTCTTCCGGTATATCCCTCGCTGTTGTAGATTTTATTTGTTATTTCGGTGATGTCGTCTATGCGAAAATCATCTGAGGCTGTCAACATTTTGGTTACAATTCCATCTGGCCCTTCTGCTTTGTTTCTGTTCAATTTGGCCAGTGCAGCTTCTACTTCTGTTTTCATGATTTCAGGTTCGTCGATAGTTCTCTGTATTGCTGGTTGTTCTCTTCTGTCGTGGAAGAATTCTCCAATACACTCGCTCCAGCGTTGAATTTTTTTTTCTTTCTTTAATATGAGCGTTCTATCCTTTTATTTTAAGCAGCCTGTTGACGAGCATGTCTGTTAGTTGCTTTATTTGTTTGTGCATATCTCTTTTGTTGGTGGTACTTAATCTTTCTATTTTTGCACTTTTAGCCACTCTTCTTTAGCTTGCCTGCATTTGGTCCTTGGACATTTTGCTATAAATAGTTAACGTTGGTATTTTTTTTAATATAGAAAATGCATTGCTGTTATTTTTACTATGAAAATGTATTTTTATACTTTCATAATGCTTTGTTTGAAGATCCATTATTTAACCTAGCAGGTGCTATCACCCGGAGTCAGGGTGGTCCTGGGAACAACACCAATTAAGAGGAGATCCCATGCTCGTCAAAACCTTCAATCTCCTAATCAGAGGCCTTGCTGTCGGGTGTAGTTTATCGTCATACCCAGGACTATGATGCTGAAATGAACAGCTACACTGATTGAAATATATTTATGTGAAGTAGCGATTGTTATT